TTAGCTAATATTATTAGAATAAATAAAGGATAAATAAATAAATTGAACAAACCTTGCTGATCGTTTTCCTTGGATGGCAAGGATATTTTAACAGAGTTTAGTTTAGTATTTGGAGGAGCCATCTTGTAAGAAAACCAAGAGTCTTGTACCATCGAGTTTAAGAAATTATTAGCTATCATATGCGAATTAACATAGTCGGTCCCTATAGGAGACCACAACTTTTGCGACCATTCCGCGACTTGCTTATTCCAGTATGGTTTACAAGCCGGGTCTCTTGAAGTTGATGCCACTTCCAATGAGTTCGAGTTGGGAACACTGTTGTTGCCTTTTAAGTTCTTCTTTCTTTTTTGCACTTGAAACTTCATAACTTTTTTGCATGATAAAGGAGGTGGAGGAAGAGGGAGAGGAGGAGGAAGTGGTGGTGGTGGTGGTGGAATCCACAATATTTGAGACATCATAAAGTCGTACACCACCTGGTGAACGAAATGCTGTTATTTTACTATTGCGGTGCCAGCGACAAAGTGTACACAAGGAAACACCAAGGATAGAAGAAGCCTGACGAACATTAAATGGAAAAATAAAAACTTTAAATATTTTGCGAAAGGTTAAGCTTTTTTGAAGGTTAAGCTTTTTGAAAGTTTATTTGCGAATGAAATGCAATAACATTAAGACTTTTTTCAGTCCCGTAACGCATAAGGGGAATTAAAAAAAAAAAATTTTTTACTACCGAATAAAAAAAAGAATAAAACATAGTTTTGTGAAAGGTGCCAAAACTTTTCGTGACGACGAAATGGCGCATAAGGTTAACAACGGTGATTTGTTAATACTTTGGAGGGGAGAAACCGAAAATAAAATTTTATTAGATAGGTGAGCTTCACATAACTATAAAAAGTCGAGCTCATTATTATAAAACTATAAATTTCTTTTTTCAAAAAACCAAAAAAAAAATAAGCATTATATATGGCGTCTTTGTTGACCATGAGCCTATTCAAACGGTTAAATTTGACTTTTTTTTTTATATTATTTAATTGTTACAAGAAAAAAAGTCAAAAAAAAGTCAATTTGAAAAGGCTCAATAGTATGTCGTTTTACTGTACTTTTCATTATACACTAGAGTTATAGGTATTTGAAATACGACGGTTTCACACAATAGCATATTATAGTATATACGAGAAAACCAAGGGGAAACAAAAGATTTCTTTTAACACTAAAACATCATTGGCACAATAGATTAATGATCGTCGCAAATTTCTTCGATAACGATTTCTTCCAAGGTCCATTAATAAACAATTCTTTAATAATCGACTTTTCTATTTTCTTTTTACAATGTAGATTGTAAACATCGGGGTAGATAGAAAACCGGTATAATTCGGCTAATTCAACGCGCTTTGTCTGATATTCGATTATTCACGTACTTCTTGATAAATATAAAATTTCTTAGTAGTATAACGAAATATGTCAACTTCTGCATCAAAACGTCGCCATTCACTCGGAACTCCATTAAGAAACTCCAGAGAAACAAATGCTCCTTGAAATGATGACGCCTCAGAGCTCAGATCTCGTAGAAAATCTTTAGCAGACTCAATGCGAAGAAAATCCTTAAATGTTTCTGGAGGTAGTGTCGCTCCTGTTGGAGTTGGTAGTCAAAACGTGTCGACTCCAAGTCAAAGAACCTCAATTAAACCTTTGGAAGTAGTCACCCCTGTTCAAAAGATACCGGATGAACAAATGCATATTAATTTTGAAGAATGGATGAAAATGGCGACCGATAACGTAAATTATTAATTATTCTATTTTTATTCATTATTCATTTACGTGCAAAATTAAACTAAAATATAGTAATATTTTTTTTCTTATTAGAAAATTAATGCTAACAATAGTTGGAAGCTTGCATTAATTGATTATTTTCATGAAATAACATTATTGAAAGAAGGCGATTCTATAAATTTTCAAAAGGCTTCATGTACATTGGATGGATGTGTAAAGGTTTACACTTCACGCGTTGATTCTGTAGCAACAGAAACAGGAAAACTTTTAAGTGGATTGTCAAATAGCTCCAGTACTTTTATTTTTATTTATTGTAACTTTACTTTTGATATGAGATCAACACTAACGTAGTATTCCTATTTCAAAGAAAATAACGATGAGAACGATCGAGACGATGATGTTGATCCCGAAATGCGTACTCGCAAAAAAGGTTAATAATATTATTACATGGAGGTTGTTAAAAATTAAATATTAAATATTAATGTGAAATTTATTATAGACTATAAAATCGGAAACGACATTGGCTAAAGACTATATTGCATTGACCTTAAAAAAATTTGAACTTAGAATTCTCGGTTGATCCACTTTTTAAAAAAACTTCTGCAGACTTTGATGAAGGTGGCGCTCGAGGTTTGCTATTAAACCACTTGTCAGTCGATAGGGACTGCAAAATCATCTTCGATGCTAGTGACGCCATACCTGATGAAATCGGCAATGATAAGTTGACTACAGAAGATTATATAACCAACCAAAAATTGACATACCAAACATCGTTGGGTAAAGTTATCGGATTTTCAAGTATTTGATTCTTTATTTATTAAATTAATAAATTTATTATCATCTCTTTTTAGCAATGTTTCTCAGAACTCCAACAAATATTCAACAAGGAGATTTGTCCTTCATTGAAGGATTTTAATTTTTCAGGAGATAGCAATCTAGGCTTTGATTATAATGATGATGATGATGGAATTGATAGGGATGATGTTGAATTTAATAGAAATGACGATGATGAAGGAGTTGATAGAAACGACCATGAAGGGTTAAATAGAGATTATGATGATGAAGGTGTTGGTATGTTTCGGGAGTATTCGATGAAGACGACATTAATCCACATACGCGATTGACGGAAAAGGATTTTGTCATGGCTATGGTCAATAATGAAAACGAATTGTTTTCTTATTTTGATTCTTCTTTCTTACGTAATTGGCAGCTCCTGAACATTGGAAGTTAAAAAGAACTAATAAAAGTAATTAAATATCTGTTTTGTTTTCATTTTTATAATTACAAATTTTTTATATCTAAGAACCGGATTCTATAAATTTTATTGAATCAGAGGATATTGATGAGCGAATCATTTTTGCATCTGGGAGAAGTACGATAAATGCGCCCAAGTTAGCTGAAGAAGTACCACATGGTCACCTACTTCCCGACGATATGCATTTTTTCGTCTAAGCAATTTCTTCAATTATTCTTAAAACCTCAATTTATGGTAATTATTTAGCTTTTAAAATTTCCTTTTTATTTTAGAACGTAATATACACGTTTGATTGTATCATATATTTTTTTTTCGTAGCTTAACTCGAAACGCCAATATGAAGCCCGAGTCCGATGATGGTAGGTACTTTCAAGTCTTTTTATAAAAATTATAAAAATTATTTGTTAGGAATTAATAAGCATTATTATCTCATGGTTACTAATGGTCGCCTGTGATTTTTTATATTGATATTTTAATACCAGTGAAAATATCAAAGTTTAT